GTGTGTACAATCGTAATTATTCGCGTATTTATTGTTACCATCCACTTACTACCACCAGATTCATTCAAACAGTGAACATATTTTTATTTCGTAAATCCCAACTTATACCTACTATAATAATTCAGAATCTGAAACACTATTCTTTCATAAACATATTAACTTTTAAATATATATACCTACTCCCACAACCACCTAGGTATATAAACCTACTATCAAATTGTCAATAATTAATTGAATATTAATTTATTTACAGATATTTAAAGTTATAAATATAAATTGTTATTTTAAATTCATAAGTTTATGGATGTATTCATATTAAAATTACTGTAGTTTATGGTTACTGTTTTATGGTAATTATGACCAAATATTAAAATAAATGCATTTTAAAATATTAAAATTTTATTACATATCTTCACTTTTTTAACAGAAAATGTCTAAACAAATTAATACTAAAATAATGATAAATCAAAATAAACCTGTATTTATTTCAAGCTTTAATTTTTTGATTAATATTCTTTAAAATATTGTTAATTAAAATAAATATACATCATCGAGCACAAAAACACTGTGTAGAAGTTATGCAGACCTGTTACTATGTGATTGCTATGATCTATTATTATATCTACATCTATCAAACTTACTAGGTTTTACGTTTAAGTATTATAAAATCAGAATATTCCCGGAAAAATATCCATGATAAAATATTATCATAATGAAAATAAAAAAAATATTATTTAGTTAATTTTTAATTATTTGAACTAATTATTTACTATATTTTATATTATCATATAAATCAGTTTTGTGATTTAGAAACATTTTAATTTGTTCATTTAATTTTAAGCGTCTAAATTCGTGAAATATATTTCTTACATAATAACTATCGGTTTTAATATATTATATAATACCATCGACATTTTGTTATTAAATTATTTACCACACTTGTAAACCGTGTAATTAAATTTCATATTTTGAAGCAGAATATTTTTTTTTTTATGTTTTAATGTAAAATATAATGATTATGGTATATTTACAATTGAATCAATTAATAATTAATTGTTTTGGCTTAGTTTTTATCATTTTAACTATTAATGTAGACATAGTTTTAAAGTATCCTCATGAAATATTTGTTCACAACTCCGTTCATCTAAACTTTCTAAAATGTTTATAATTTTGAGAGACTACTAGGCTATACTTAATTCTAGAACTGCATACTAAAGCTATAAAATAAAACAATTTTAGTTATTTAGCACTATATAAAAGTCAAAACTAGAATGTCAATGGGAATAAGTCTCATTGGCAAAATATTATCATGTGTATTTTTTAATGTGATGTGGGTATAGGTACTTCAAAAGCTTTAACTTTGTAAAAAATACAGCTCAGAAGCATAGAAATTAACATAGAAATTTAGTAAAACACTTTGGTAAATACATAATAAAAATCTATATGACATAATGGATGCTTCGTAACCACGCTTAACTTTTAACTTACGTAAGTATCTTCTATTAAATATTATTTATTGACATACAATACCTATACAAATTGCTAGTGATGTTCTAATTGTGAATTTTATAATTATTATTTAAAACACTTAAACCATTTAATTATTATGTAAAAGTGAATAATTTAGGTTGATCGAATTACCTTTTTTTATTTTTCTATATATAAATGATATAATGATTGAGTTATATTCAAAAAAAAAAAAAACCTAGATATCTAGAAAAAAATATTATGGTTACCTAAGTACACTAATTTTTATAAAAGTCAATTCACATCACATGTTTGCGAAAACCCTTAATTATAAAACGTGTACGCGTTTAAATATAATAGTATAAATAATGTATAAAAAATGTTTTATACGCGATTTGTTTGTATCTTTTGTAATATAACAGTAGATGAGATACATATCTGCAGCGTTGTATGTACTCACTAATACAACTAAATTATTTACTATAAGTTTATAATTTAAACAATTTATTAGAATAGTAATATTTTGATAAAGTAATGTAGATAATCGTTAGTAATCGTTCACACAAATAAAAATAATTTCGTTTACCCAAAACAGTAGGTACAGATAATAGTTGATTTTTAGTCACTTTGAACCGGTTGAGTAAAAATGTATATTTTAGAATGTAAACATTTTATTCAATCGGACTATTAATTTTTTGGTAAAAATTATTACTATTCCCCCCAAACTTTACCACTGCTAGAGATATATATTTCTAGAAGTAGATAAACAGGCGTATTTTTAAAATCGTGACTTCAAAACATTTGATAGTTTCATGTAATCTATAGATCTCAATCAACCAATCACTGCCATTACTATTTACAAGTTTCTACAAAATAACTACTAATTACCATAAATAAAAAAATTAAATAAAAAAATTGGCAAATATTGATTAGAATAACTAAAAGCAACCTATAACGAGTCATGTCATAAAAATAACATCACATTTTCATAGATAGTTTGTTAAAAACCTTCACGTAGAACTTCTATAGGTCTATAATAGCATAGATTAAATATACTAATATATTTAATCTATGATAATAGTCACTATTAAAAACAAAATTTTTATCTTGAAAAGATAGGTACTATATTATCTTCCATACAATATCGTTTTTATTTTAATATGAAAAGAGTTAGGTATTATTTTTTTTAAATCCATTATTTTTATGTTTTTTCAAACTTAATATTGAAAAAATAAAAACGATATTGCACATATAACGTTTTTTCGTTTTTAGCAAAAATGTGATTATTTTCTATAAGTTTTGCATTATTTTTAGTTATTTTCCGAATCTTTAATACTATGATATCGTAATTATTATTTACTAAATCACGCAAAAAACGAATTACTAATTTACACAACAATTTTCAATGGTAGGTAGTAACTGACGTTAGATAACTTACTTTGAATTAACAATATTTTTAATTTGTTCAAATTGCCTTTATCAAAACTATGAAAACTAATGTGTGGACATTTTATTTGAAAATTAAAGAAAAAGGAAGTATATTATAGTTTATAAGTATAGGTACTCATTTTAAACTTATTAGCAGACTACTTACATCTAAGTATCCACTATATTCGTATACTCGTACAAATGTACAATTAATGGATTTTTATTATAATAACAGCAGAATAAATACATCTATTACTATTATAATTTAAATATTAGATACGGTAGTTAACTTAAACCAATTACTTTTTAATAATTTGTATTTTGCTATTTTTTTATGTATAACGTGGTAGTCCGTTTAAATGAATATAAATATAAATGCTCGTATTTTTAAAGTTATTATATATTTATATATACTTATATATTTTAATAATAAGCATTTAAAATTGTGAGTTAAGATAGGTAAAGTATAATGTCAAAGAGTATTCCGTAAAAAGTCTATCCTTAGTCCATTATATCAATCTTGCTATAAATTTCAAATTCTTGTTCATAAAAAATATATGTTAACTCGCCATTTAATATTTATGTCACAACGGTTTTATAAAAGTATTCTGCTTCTGATTATTATCAATACAAAAGAACTACTCGTATATTATACAAAAAAAAAATTATTTTTTTCTATACAAAATTTGATTGAAAATTGTTGTACCAATTTTAATTGATCATTTCGTATATATTATATCATATCATGATGTAATTTGTACCATGTTTATGATGTACAAAACTGTACCTACGTCTATAATTTACGCATTGTACAATATATAATAGGTATACATATATATATTTTGGCGGAAGCGGAATGAAACACCGTAATTTCACTTTCTTGTGACCAACTGCACTACCTACCTACAATAATCGTTTCATTGTACGCAATGTGTCATAATATCATCGACCTTTAACGGTTCATGGCCTCATAGGTAATTTTATATTTTACTCTCACATAGTTTTGTTGACTATTATGTATTATAATACGTATGCATATTTTATTTGTATGTCTAATTTTGTTAAATATAAATTAAAATAAATTACCGAGAATTAATATTTAAAAAATTGCATGTCATCAACCAAGATTACTGTAGATTAAATACAGTTTAACTTCACTAATTTTATACAAATTACTATAATTAAAAAGTAAAATTATCTTAGCTCTTTAACCCTTTTATTATTTTAAAATGTTGTTGCTATATCTACCATTATTGAAAACACTGTAATTATAAAATATAACTAGCAAATAATAAAAAATAATAAATCTATACATAAAAGGTAATTATATGCAAAAGAAAGCCTACTTAAAAAGTCTACGCTACAAATTTCGTATACACCAATAATAGAAGTTAAAATTGATTGTGTGAAGATAATAATAGATCTAATTTATGTATTTATGTATACTATAGTTTTATAAAAAAATGTTTATATTGGTAGATACTTTGTAATATTTATTTTGTTAATTTTTTAACGTTTAATCATTAAATAATTCTTGTTTGTACTTATATTACCATGCAACTCAACTAACTTAACTTATATATCTACACTTGATTGACCTAAAATTCATTTCCATACCTGTTTTTTACATAATCTACTCACTTCAGTTGGTCAATAACTAAATTTACAATTCACGTTTCTCTCGATTTACTATGAAATCGTTAATGCTAAAAATTGAAAAAAAAAATACAAAACGAGGCATAAAATAAAATATCGGTAGACACATTTAATTTAATTGATTATACCCTATAAATCATAATACTACTTACGATGACAATTTATTTTGATTATTTTAAGTCAAATTAATTTTGATAACTTAATTAATATATTAAAATATTGTCAAAAATCTAATGATCAAAATCACAAATACACTTTTGAAACTCTCAAAGAATTTATAAAATATAAATTTAAAAAATGATAACTAGATAACCAAAAATTAAAATATTAGATCTATTTAACATATTAAGAATTAAATTGTAAAATTTAAAAATTTATATTTTTATTGATTAGTATATGACATATTATAAATTTAATATAGTAATTGCATGTCATCTAAATTTTTATAGTGGTCACTGGATCTACAGACGGTATTGGAAAAGAATACGCCAAGGAATTAGCCAAGCGAGGTCTCAACATTGTATTGATAAGCAAGTCAATTGATAAATTGAATAAGATTGCTTCAGAAATAGGTAAGATATAGTTATACACCTTAATATATTTCAATAAATTAGAATAATTAGTGATATTTTAAATTAAAAAACTATTTTGAACGTCGTGATGTTTAAAAAAAAAAAACGTGATCTGCATAATAAATTATTTAAAACCAAATATCATTAAGTACCAGTTAGTACTGTCTATGTGTATCTATACACTGTAAATTTTTAATATATTTGTTTCAAAATTTGTCCTAGTTGTGAATTAAAATAACCAAAAGCAAGCACATTACATATTATATGAATACTGACTTGAACAATTTTATTAAAAAAAAAAAATTTAGTTAGGTATAAAACTTGGTAATTGGTGATTGAATTACATAAAAATAACTTAAATGATATTAAATATTTTAATTAACGTAGAATTGTTTTTAAAATACATATTTAATATAAAATATTCAAACCGTTAGTTATGATGGAAAAATCCTTTTAATTTCGTTTGCAATATTTTCAGCAAGTGCCACAGACATTATTATTATCATTTTTTTTTTTTTTTTGATATTAAATTTTGAATAATTATTTCAACAAGCAATGTCCTACCTAATATTATCGTTAAAGCAATTATTTAATTTTTATTAATCAATTATTATCATGATGTATCTGATGTACATTTTAAGACATCTAATAACACAAAACTTGTATCATTTAAATCTAGTGGTATAACTTATTTTGAGCATAAAGGAAAAAAAAACATTATTGTAATCTGTGTTTATAATGTTTAATTTATTTTGTTTTGTATTTTCTTTTTACCATTTTTCAACATTATGTCTGAACATGACAACATCACCAACTTAAGAATTTGTACCTGTACAATACCTTTTGCGTGTATAATATTAAAATAATTATTTTCAAAAGTTTTCCTCCTATAATTATGTTCAAAATTTTGAATAAATAATAATTTTTGTAAGACGCTCTCGTCATGTTTACCAAAGTAATTTGCGTAAATAATAATAAACAGTCATGAAATAAAAAATTTTTGAATTTTTAAATACATTACCTATCCGTTCACTATATTTATATTTTTGAATGATTGGTACAATGGTATTGCAAAAAATTCCATTTAAACAAAAAACAAATGCTATTACGTATAAAAATACATTACATTTAACAATATATAGCTTAAGAATTTCTTACGATCGATTTTATCGGGATGATCAAATAATTATACATTTATATAATACAATAAACGTATATCATTGAAAAATTACTTAACTTTAATTAAATCAACAATTTATTCATTATTGTAAAATTGACAATACACAACTCCAATGCTTTAAAAAAAATGTTTATTATTAATAAATAATATTTTTATGACAATGATAAAATAATGTCATTGCAATAAATGTTAAATTCATTTATTTTCAAAAAATCTATTTTCTAAGTATAACTAGTAGTATTTCCTTCAGTCATGACTGTTAAGTCATTGCTGTTTTTAGTATGATTTTAAAACTAAAATACTTAATAAGTGGAAACAGGCAATTTTTATGTATTTCAATACAAGAATTTTTCTACATGCAGTCTTGTAAATGTGTACGTAGTATAAGTGATTATTAGTACACGTACACGTACAAATCTGCACAACTGTGTTGAGCATGAACGATAAAAAAAAAACATTATATACCTAATGTATTTGTGTTGATTTATGTATTAATTTAAATTATTAACCTAACTTAACCAATAGACTTAATAATGCGTTAAAACTTATGGAAACTAATTTGATTTCTATAATATTTATTCTTGAGATTGATTAAGCTTCGTTTAAAGATTTTTGATTTAAATGTAATACAATCAAGATTAAAAATTTCGTAAATTTTAAATATTCAAACCAAAAATTGGTAAAAAAATAAATAATTTTTTAAATAAAAAATAAAAGTAATTAATAATAATTTATAGGAGTTGAGGGATATGAAATTTGATAAAGTGGAGAAATTGATCTTAAAGAAGCATAATAAGCAATTCGTAATAATTTAAAAAAGTATAATTGCATAATGATCATTATGATTGACAAAAATTGAATTTAAAAATTTTATAAAAGACATGTTAAATACAATACATACCGGAATTTAGTTTCATTTTGCAATTACGTTAACGTATTTATGTACTAAAAATTGGGTGGAATTCTAATTATTTACCATATTTTAAAATTATACATCAATTATCCTATTGTAATATCGATTATTATAGCTTATTTCACGATAGGCATATGCATAAATTAAAGATTATCTCTACCGCCATAAAAAAATTCTTAAGGCACCTAAATACTTCCTAGCTTAACCTCGTCAGTATAATAAATTATGCTAATACGTGTTAATCAATACTTCTAGCCTACCCAGATGTTTAACCATATTTACATCTAAGACAATAGATACGAAATATATTTTAAATGTCGAATAATTCATTCACACTGATCTATATTATTTATACCTACTTTTTTAAATTTACAGTGATGTGGTTAAATACAATAATATTAATTTAATCAAAAATAAAAATACTAAAAATTAAATACATTTATACCTAAAAGTTATAATCAAACCAATAAAATATTTAAAAACCTATAAGTAAGTTAACTAAACCTAGAAACTAAAATTTAAAACTAGAATAATATATTTTATGTGTATCATCTACTAATATTTTTCAGAACAAGAATCTAATGTCGAAGTGAAAGTTATACAAGCTGATTTTAGCAAAGGGCAGATGATATTCGACCACATCGCCAAAGAATTAGACGACATGGAAATCGGAATACTGAGTTGGTGACGTTTATATAAATATAATAAGATTTGAAATAATTCCTATAAGCATATCATTAGTGTGTACTAAACTGTAAAATACTTTTAAACTAGTGTTTGTTTTTTTTTTTTTGTTATACATAATTTTAATGAATACTTGCTAATAATTTTTATGAACTGTATCTCAGTAAACAACGTTGGCAAGCAATACTTATATCCAATGTACATAAACGAAGTACCGGAATCAACCGTATGGGACATGGTGAATATTAACGTTGGTACTGTCACGCATATGACAAAACTTGTGTTGCCAGGCATGCAAAAACGAAAACGCGGAGCCATCGTAAATGTGTCGTCCAGTGCAGAATTGCAGCCCATGCCACTGATGGCCATATACGCAGCAACCAAGGTAAACAACAGTCTGGTTACATCTAATTTTTTTCTTTCAGTTTCATCTCTTGCACAGACTCTAGGTCAGAGGTAGCGAACCTATGACATGCGTGTCACGGAGGTTAGGATTACTTTTTTTAAATTCAGAATTTGTTTAACATACTTTGTAGTTATATGCTATTTATTTTTTAGGTATCTAATATTCTAATAGTCTAATATGTTTAAATTTCTTAATAATGTGATGTTTGACTTGTTTTTTATTATTCAAGCCATGGATGTAGGAATTTTTAAGTTAAAAAAAAAAAAGTTATCAAATTAGTTGACACATAAGAAAAATAAAATAAAACCAAAATTTTTATTTGACACGCGGATATAAAAAGGTTCGTCATCTCTGCTCTAGGTCATGGGGATAAATTTGTTGACACTTAATAGTTGATTGAAAAGTGAAGAAAGATGATTAATTTACACTTATAAATGTAAGACGTGGTTTTATAAACTAAAAAAAAATTGCTTAAATTATGTTTTAAAACACATGAAAAGTTACAACAAAATATATTCAAAACAGGTACACTAATTGAATCAATTTTTAATAATATATTTTACTTTTTTGAAACTATTATATGCGTATTCGTTTATAATCTAAACAATTGTAACGATAGTTCAATATGTGTTCTAACTTTTAATACTTACTGAAATTAGTTGAAAAATATTTTTAAAATTTCATTGTATCTGTGAACTAATGTTCTAAAATTTGGCAAATTAGTTGAAAACAGTTATTCCTCAATTTGTAAATTTTATATTAAGTTATAAGTTATAAGTCATACAATTTAAAGTAGGTACCCAATGTTTTAAAAACAAAAAACTTATAGTTTCTTAAGAAAGTTAAAAAAAAATTTAATTGTTATTACTTTAAATTGTTTTAATTTAAAAAACAAATTTACAACATATACACAGCTATAGATATATTAAAAGTATTTGAACTGCATTCCACTTTATCAAGAGCTAACCGTCTGATTTTGGCATATCTACTACAGTATTGTAAAATTGCATTTTAATATTTATTGATTGGAATCCCGGTATGAAAAACCTTATTTACTGATTTTAAAACTAAGAGTTATTATTGGCAAAATTAAATAAAAATAAAAAATGTGTACATAATTATGTTTGTTCATTTTTTCAGTCATACATAAAAAGCTTTACGGAAGCACTTCGCATCGAGTACGAAGAGGACAATATAACAGTCCAACATCTTTTCCCGTTATTTGTTTGCACAAAAATGAACGCTTTCAGCTATAAACTACAAGAGACGACTCTATTCGTACCCGACGCAAAGACGTACGCCACGAATGCCGTTAACACACTGGGTATGGTGGACCATTCGACCGGTTACTGGGCCCACGGTATTCAGGTAAAGCGTTGACACATCGTTAATTAATTTTGTATTGAAATTCGCTTTTTTTCCAAGAGTAATCCAAGAATATAATAAATAATAATATATATGAGGACAATGTAAGATTCTAAATTATTTATTAAAAAAAAAAATTCTTTTAATAATCACAAGTACGACAGTACTAAAAAAAAAAAATTATTTGGTAAACCAAATTTCAATAGAAAAAGAGTGGAACTCTTACCTAGTGCAGGGCGACATTTTCAAATTTTGTTTTTTCACCAAATTTAATGAAGGACCACTTATAAGTTACTTTGAATTAGTGAGTACCTATTTAAATACATTGAAAATTGTTTTTAAACCTGCCTATTTTAAAGTTTTGAACACCTTGGTTAGGCGTTCTGTTTTCTAGCCTAAAAAGTTACAGAAAAAATAAATATTAAAACAAATAGCCATTTTTAAGTTAAACGTTTTCATCGATTTGCTTGTGTCAACTTTACTTTATTATATTTTTAAATTACTCAACTTATGTTATTTTTAATTGACGTAGTGAATTACACTCAACTTAACGTTATATAACATTTTTTTTTTTATTTATTGTATAGGTACATGCTAATAAATTATAACTCTTTACTCTGTCAATATTATAGTTTTGTATTGTATTGTATTTTTCAGCATTTCTTTATGAGACTGCCACCAGTATGGATTAGAACATTAATTGGAGAATTTATGACTCATTCCTTTAGAAGTGACTATTTTTCTAAAAAAGGTATAAAAATAGAGTAATTTCTCAAGAATTTATATGTTACAAAAGTTTTTTTATAAAAAAAGTATATATTATTAGATTAATAAATTACAATACAGGTGTATGAAATATGAATAGATTTTATTATTAATTATATATTGTCATACATACCTAATATTATATTATATACATTGAGTTTTAAAAAATGGTAATAGAATTTTTTTTCCAAAAAGTTAAAACTATTCTATACAATATTTAGCATAAAATGTTAATGTAGTCCAACATTTTTTTGAGATATCTATAATTTAAAAATACGAAATATTATTTTTCATATTTTATACATATTATATTACGAGTTAAGACATTTATTTTAAATTCAAGTTTCCGGAATTTCTTTGTATTAATGATTTTTTCCTATAATTTATATTTTAAATGAATATTTTTGTTTAAAATATGACTTCTATAGCTTTTATAAAACTATTTTACTTTTTGTAGGGTATTTCACAAGTCGTTATTTAATTTTGCTGAACGTTGACCAATTCGCTTTATCAGCGATTAATCGCATAAAAATAATTCACCGATATCAACTTGTATTTGTCGGATGACAATAATCGTAAACAATCACTTATACCTATAGTTCGATGCGATACGTTGACCGTAACGTTGTGTGTGTTTGCCATTCGAGTATTAATAATTTTGTGTTTTTATTGTGTGTAGTCATATTCTTCAAACATATTTTAAAATGTTTAAAAGAAAAATCATCGGTTGCTACCCGTCTAAAATCCTTAGTTTCGAAATTTGGAAACATTATTACGACAAATACTATATTTTTTTTACAGTATGCAATAGGTATCAAAATTTCTAGTGATAAACATTTTTCTGTAAGATAACATATAGCCGCTGAAAACAAATTGAAGAGGAATGAATCATACAGAAAACAAAAACACAACTCAGTAACTTATTTCACTTGATTCGTCATAAAAATGTCATTCAACATTGTAAAGTCATGCTTAGTGTGCTAACATCCCGTTAAATAAATTTATCAATCGTAGGGATGCGTGGATTTCGATCGTAAATAAATTGTGGTGAAAACTTCCAGACCAGTTGACAATTCATTAAAAGTTTTGACAAAAATGTTACTCTTTAGATCGAAATTGTTCAAAAATATTTCAACAATATTGAAAAGAAATTTGGCTTGAAATTACACAAGTCTTCACCGGAAAAAAAATGTATTAATAGTAGATACATACCTAGTTAAAAAAAAAAAAAAGTAGTTAGTGGCTATATTATAGTAGTATTTGCTAGAACACAAGATTATTATAGTTAAAATATTTTAATTAATAATTTATTGTTAAAACTGAATACCTACTGATACGCACACGATTGTTATTTCTATGTTTTTAATCAAAGAAAATAATTTGTTTTGAGTACTATTCGACTAAAGAATACGGATAATGCAGTTTCTCTGTCCGTATTAATTTATCGAGTGCGTTAGCGTGTGCAGCTTAACAGCGCTATCACGATTTCGCAAATTTATACGTCATAATATAAATTAAAGAAAATATTTTATTTTTCTGTAACTCTTGTAATTAATATCAATTAAAATAAAGATACGGATGCCGGTATGCTGTAGCCACGCGTGTCGTCAATTACCACAGACTTAAGAGAAATGCTAACGGCCGACGACGAAGTATACATTTATTTTGTAAGAAAACTAAATTTGGCGACACGCACTCCTGCGGCTCACGGTATCTATATTGTTATTGTATCCGAATCGAATATCGATAAATCATTTACTATAATTAATTATTGGGTACTATTGTACTAATGATGGCCAACGATATCGTATCGGTTTAAATAATTGTTGACGATATTGTTTTAGAATAATTCAATTTATCGCAGTGTCGAATTTATAAATTATTATTTTTATTTTTATTATACCTTATGGCTTATAAAGTAAGACAAATATTAATATATCTTATCAGGCCACCTGCCTATGATGAGTGAGTATTAATGTTAAATAACCCGTATTTTAAGACATGTCTAGTAAATAATACTAGATTAGAAAATAAGTACGCAATAATGCAATAAAGTATACAGTTTATGGTATAAACTAATATCTCACTTCAGTACTTCAGTGTTTTTCGTCCATAACTAACGTAACGCAGTTTTATTTAAAAATATGAATACCAGTGATAGGTACTAAATTAGTGCTTAATTCCAAAAGTTATGAATTTCAAATAAATGAAAATGGTTCAATATTGGACAAAGCAAAATGTTTTTGTCGTTCACGTAAATGTTCTGTGGCGTATAATGGGTAATACATAAAATTTAAATTCACATTTGCAACAGTGTTGAAGAGTGAAATAGAATACAAACCAATCAATATTAACATATTTAAAAAAATCAAAACTCGATATGGATATCGTACATTTTACGGTATTTGCAGAATGTGGGTGATATTTATACTTGGTATTACATCGTTTGCCATAACTACTAATTAGTAATTACCATTACATCCTAAATTTTAATTTTAATTGGTTATTAAAAAGTGAACATTGAACATGATCCTATAGTAAAAACATTCTGAAATTCGTCAGAAGTAGAACAAACCAAAGACAATCAAGGTAAGTTATATTTTTATATTAAATATGATATATCACAAAAATTATTTTATTTTTTTAAACAAACCGCAGAAGTGTAGGGATGATTTATTAAAAATAGGTAGAAATGTTTTGATACTCGTACAGTATGCTATCTGCTGTTACATTGTTATTATAGATATGCTACCCATAGCAAATTAAATTGTATTTAAATAGGTATGTAACATGACATTTTCAATATTTATATTTATTTACAAACTTTTATGATATTTTTTAATAGGTAATTTTTATCATGAAGCTACACTTTCAATGTCCAAAGATTATTTTAATCAATTTCCATAACAGTGAATGTCTGAACAGGTATAATAAGTTGTTTTGCAGTTCTAATATTTACTGGTTCTGTTCTATTAAAATTAGCTATTACAATGACAATATATTATAAGTTATAACCAGGGGCATATTTAAAGGGGGCACATAAGGTTTGTGTCTCCTCCATTTATCTATTTTATACTTTCGTATTACTGAGAGTATTGACCTACCTTACTGACATTACAAATTATTATAAATTCCATGAATTTTACACTATCCTTATCAAGGAAACTGCTGTCTCCAACTTTTGATATATCTGAAGTACAATCTTTAGTACAATCTGTCTTAACTGTTTTGACAAATCAATGTAACAAAACTAACTTTAAAGATGATTTTAAGAAACCTTAAGATTTAGCTAATGAATTTAACATAGAAGTCAAGATACCACAAATAGCAAATAAATAGAGTAACCGCTTAAATATTTCATCAAAATCAAATACACCTGAGAGTTATTGTATAGTGTCTGTTTTTATACATACTTAGATTCATTGTCAACTGCAATTAAATACAGATTTGAAATTTAAAAAAATGGTAAAATATTAAATTTAAAAGGCTTCATACTAAGTATTGTAACAATATTGGCATTTCAAAAAAGTTAGATGCAGCTTTACAATTGATTTACCAAGTACTTTCAATGAATTAGAAGGTGAATGTAATATGAAAAGAAAAAAAAACAGTAGATGAATTTCCATCCACTGAATTGAAAGCAATATTTTTATCACTTACAGATTTTTATGGAAACATTAAAAGGCTTTTAATATTATTTATAACCATTTTTTTAACTATTTGCATATCCAAAAGGTCATTTTCTTTACTTAAGTTAATTAAAACTTGCTTAAGATAAACTATGAGAGAAGACCGATAGAATGGATTAGGATTGATCAATGTAGGTACATTCAGAAATAATTATTATAAAACTTGAAGAAGTAGTTGATATATATGCTAATAAACATCCCAAACGCTTTCATTTTTTATAACTATATAAATTTGATTTAAAAATATGTTTTATTAATTATTTTACTGATTAAATATTATGTGTTTATCAAACACGTGTAATTTAGTTATTTGGTTATAAATTCTGATATTATTTTGGGATGGAAAATATGAGTTATAACTGTTATAAGGTATAGCTATATGTATAATTTGAATTTTTTGTTTGTACTCTTCCAGCTGACATTTCTAAATGCTCTCCTGGTTATAACCTATTTTTTGACAAACTGAAGTTTTGATTAAAAGTACAAAATAGTTATAATGCAATTTAATAGTTAAATATTTCACAAGACATATAGTTTTATAATAATATTTATTACTTATTATTTATAACACATAAGCTACTCATAATTTAATCTTTAAAATTTAATTAAATAAAATGTCCATATAAATAGGTATCTAAATTAAAAACTTAAACATTTTTTGTCTGTTAATTTTTATTAAAGTGGAATAAACATAATATTTCTGACCTTGAAGAAAGGAGAACAATTAAGGACAGTTATACCTATGTGGCTAAGTATGAGTATTTCAACAGTTCATTGTTAACACTTAAAAAAAATAAAAATAATTTAAGTTCTTAGTAATCCATTTGGTGTTGAACAATTATTATTTGTTACAGTAAAGTTTCAATAAAAGGATAACTAAAATATAGATCACTAACAATTGTCATGTTATTATCAGATATTATTTTAAAAAGCAATCAATAATTAAATTTGCTAGTTAAATAAATCAAATTTATCCTAACTTAAATTCATAACTTGTTGATTTTACTAAAATCCTCAAATACAATATATTTAACTTTTTTTTATTATTTATAAAACAAGTTTCATTGTTTTTGATATCGCAACTCACAGATTTTGTGTCTTTGTCATTTTAATAAGTACAACAATAACAAAATTAAATAACAATTTGGACATAATTTATTTCAATTTAACTTTATTTTAACTAATTAACAGCATAATAGGGCTTGAAGTTGAATTATATATATATTTTTTCATTTGTTCTAATAAATGTTGCACAAGTCTATGAAAATTTAATTCGTGGAATCTAATAATACAATTTTTATTTTGTATTTTTTGAAAAGTGTTTTTAGTAATTTAATACATTTTAATACTTTCTAATACAATGTATAGCATTTTGATTATTTTTAGAAAATTTAGTACACAAAATACATGATATAAATTATATATTTTTATATGTTAGATATATGACTATAATTGTTGAATGTTGAAGTATACTAAAATGTATAGTGAATGTGGCTGAAATAACTCTTTAGTAAATGTTGACGACCATGCTTTAATTCTGAGAAACTACCAATATAAAGATGTTTGATTAATATTTTTGAACTTTTAATCAGTATTTACACTATAGTTTAGTTTGATTTTTATCATCATTCAATCATGATAGTATCCAATTATTATGTGACATCCAATTATGTTTTACACTTTACACTAATAGCTACAATATTATGTATGCCTGCATAACGGTATTTAAATGTGAATGTTCGATTTCTTAAAAAATTTAGATTAAATTGAAATTAAATAAAAACTTGAAGATAATTGTTTTGTTATTTAAACGATTAAAAACAAATTAAATGTTAAAGAAAAGTAGTAAGTGCTGTCGAATAGAAGTTGTTAAGAGCGAGCTAGTTAAATATATTGAAATAGTTTTAATGTCATAAGATAATGAGCAACTAATCACTCAGCATTTGTTTAATTAAAAGCAGGTGAGGCTAACAAAAGGTATGAGTGTATATTATGAGCCATATGCACTCTATCAGTAATATTACAAATCCAGTCATCTTTCAATTGATAGAATAATAATTATAATTTAATTAATTTCATTAAAAAACTCAGTAAAAATGATTTTGTTTTATTAGTGCACGTAAACAGTTGATTTTTAAAAATATATAATATACATGGTTACAGTTTACTTAACAATGTTATTTTATTTTTGATATTGAAAATCAGAAAATTATAAACGCGGAACATTACATGGTCAGTCATTCATCTTATATATTTATTTTTTAATTTTAAATTTGTATTCATGATTATTTTATTTTTCACTTGGTCAATTTTATATGACTACATCAAAACATAATTCCCAACATACTAAAAAAAAATTATTGTTACAAACATTTAAAAAAAATCCACTTTTATCATTTTAAAGTTTTCCTCTTCTACTAAGTATTAAAACAAAAGTTGACATTTATAAAAAAATGAATTATCATATCTAATATATTGTTTTTTTTTTTTAAATTAAATTAATTTATAGAATTTGTATAATAAAATAATATTTTATTTAATAATATTACATTATTATTATTTATTTTATTGATTTTTAGATAGTATTTAAAACATTATCAGCTGATCAAAATTATATAAAAGCTTTTTTTTTTTAATCTTAAAACAGTGGTAGCCGTTAAAAAAATATTTTTAAAACTATGACTGTTAAATATATATCTAAGATATTTATTTATGTTATCATTAAATTAATATATAATACAAAACTTATTGATAATAATAAAAATAAATAAGATTGGCAATACAATATTACAGTCTTAAATTATACTTATAAAAAAAGGTATTAAAATAAAATATCAATATCAATTAATTAACTAAATTATTAATACTTGATAAAACAGTAGTACTAATGTATGGAATCACTAGAATTTATAAAAATTTATATTTAATAAAAAGATAAATAAGGTAAAGTACAATTAAAGAATATGATAACTACTGGTATCATTGTGTACCTATTTTAGTTTAACACTTAAATAGATCATATTAGCTTTATATTACAATATTATATCTATAAACTTTTCAATAATTTGGATAGTACCCAAGGTATTAATATGTTCTTATCAATATTAAAGCATGTTTTTTAATTATAACATAGGTAATGTAAATAATGTTATCAATGATAGTATATTTATACAGCAATAAATAAGGAAGGTAAAAAAAAAAAAAATTGTTTGGTTAAATCTAATCAAATATGAATGCAACGTTAAAGACAAAATAATCAGTCAAGTACGACAAATATTATTCCATTCACTTAATTCTAACTTGATTCTTATAGAAATAAATTCTTATTAAATGATTAACAAACTAATAATAAACTAAATATAAAAAAAACAAAATTATAATTCATATTTGTATATTTAACTGTTTTGATATTTTAATTTTAGATCAGTTCATCTTTTATAAATGCTATATGAATATTTGCATATATGCAAATACTGGTTCAAAACAAACTAAACATTGTTTAACTTTTGAGGTACATTTATAACAGGTAGATATGTGTCTACACGGTAAAAGAACAGCTTGCATTTCTTCTTTACAACAAATCTTACAAAGAACTGGATCAATTAATTCATTTGCATTCTCTGATCCATTATTTTCTAGACTAAATTGTTTGAGGTTAGTAACATAAATGCCAACTCTCATAGTCATAGTAAATGGCTGTCTGCATATAGCACATAGATCAAGTGTTACTGCACATTGGATACATGCAATAACATGACGACAAGGCATAAAAATTACTTCCAATTTTTCTTTAAAGCAAATTTTACATAAGACTGAATCAGGTATTAATGACTCCTGCCGACTTAAACGTATAATGGTCACAGGTTCTACAAAGTCTGAGAATGTATTACTTTCCACTGATGTTTCCAAATTCCTGAAAAAAAAAAATTAAATTAAAAATTATTATCAATAATATATTAGGATAAATGTTTTAGATGAATCCAGTTATTTTATATGTAATTCAAATATATACATGTATTTTTAATTGCATATCTTTGAAATTAGTTGTTTGTAAAATTGTGTTTTAAATAATTGAAATCTGAGTATATAATTGGTTTAATATTATCAAGAATATAATTAAATACATCATGAAATAAACACACTGATTCTTACATATAAATATTGTTTAGTCTATTTTAAACAGCATTTTTTTTTAATTAAAATAATCTGACATTAAATACTCGATCTTCAATAATTTATAATTGCTTTGTTAAATAAAATCCAACTAAATTCATCAAACTTAAATAGTTCAATAAATTAAGAAAAGCATTATTTTCACAAGTATATAAAACAATTATGATCATAAAAAAGTAAAAATTCTAATTTCTATTACAAGTACCAAACATTTTAAAAAATATATATTTTATAAAGACTATTAAATTTTAATTTTTGATCTTTAACAATGATTATTAGTCAAAATTTGATTACCTGAATATTTAAAATTTATTTTTTACTCAATTACTCACAGATTACATAAATTAAATAAATTTGTAGCTCAGCTTAAATTAATTAAAATAAGTATTTATAAACAATATAAAAAAGTTTATAGTATTATTAATATAAAATAAAAGAAAGACAATTAAATTGCTCATATAATAAATATTTTATTAAAAGTTATAAGACTATACTTATTATCGTTTTTATCGACTACTTAGTGAATTTGTAGCAATATAAACTTGAAAATAAGACTAAATATTTATACTAACATCTTCAAGATATTCTATTTTAATTCTTGATTTGCATATGTATAATAACATTTTTGTTAATGAGTAGAAGAGCTTCATAAAAATTTAGAATGTCATACATTACAGTAACATACTTCATGATGACCTCTAGTCAAACTTTACTATACTGTAGCAGATCGACTGGTTTTTTTGTTTTCAATTTTTTTTGTTAATTTTAAGTGTAAATCACATTTTTCTACATATTTGTATATGTTACCGGCAAAATAGTTAATATAAATACTCAATACATTTTCAAGGAATTCTATAAAATCCTTGAATTTTTTTGCAATATTTTAAATTTGAATGGTAATCTATATTATGCTTAGGTATTCTATACATTCCTAGGATTTCTATAAAACGCCTATACTATGTTAGGTAATGTGTTAAATCAAAATATGTTTATTATTATTTATTTATTGTAGCATATAGTTGATGCATGAAATTTATAACTACATAAAACATTATTTTTTACACACAGGCATTTTTTAGATTGACATTTTCAATTTATCATTCAATAAATTAATAATATTTTTCAACTTTTTTCAACTTTTCTTTAGTTCAACATTAAAACGTTCAGACATTTTAATGTATCTTAATATGATAAACACTTTTACAAAAATGAAAAGAAATAATATTTTTAAAGACGTATATTGAATTGTCTTGTATACATGAATAACATGATGAGCTAATAATAACTATAATACATCGCACACATGTTGTATGTATTAGCATAATTGTCAAGATAAACATAAATCGTTGATTACAGAGGTACATTAGGTACAAATCTAAGTTTTATACTAATTATATATACTTTTCCTGCTTGAGGTTAGGTGATTTATAGAATACCTAAGATTTCTATACAATACCGGATTCAATACATTGCCGGTAACACATACAAATTGAGATTTTGAAAAAATCTATTTTATTTATTTTTTTTTTTTTTTTCATAATATAGTTAATGAAAATATTAAGTGTCTAAGTTATTATGTCATTAATTTATACAAAAATAGTATTACTACATTTGATAACTATATATATATAAAGTAATAAAAAAAAAAGTAATTATTATTTAAATAATGCATTAAACACTTATTAAACATACTGCAAGTCAAGAATTTAAAGTGAAGAGAAGCAGCAATCATCTTTAAGTACTCATTTTATATTTTAATAACTTGTTCTTCATAGTAAATAATCAAGTTTCAATTAAGCTACAAATTGAATTAATAACAAACCTCATTGTATCACTGTCAACAGCAAGATGTCTATGAATGGTAAATAACTTATTCAATTCCTGTAAAAGTAATTATTCATATTTTTAGAAATAACTTAAAAAATCGTTAAAATATACTAACCTCTAGGTTAATTCGTAAACTATAGTTTACTTCACCACCAACTTCTTCTACAAAACGTTTGCCTTTACTTAAAAGAACGTAACTGCAAAGTGGTGACCAACGGGCATGTTCAACCCATGGATCATCATCAACTTCCCAATCCATCAGACCCTGATTACAGCAGAAACATATCATCCTGTCTTTTTCACCTAAAGTTGAAAAATTTATTAAAAATACTTGATCATTTAAATAGATTATATTTCAAAATTTACCAATGTAGAATAATCCAGCTTTACAAAAAGTTAAAACATCATGGTTTAGTTCTTTTGTGAATGTTTCAAATGTTTTCATACGAGATTCCAAAGATGTCAATGCTTTATAATTTGAGCGAACTTTCATATTTGCATCTGTCACAATACCAACGGAACATAAGAAATTCTGAACATAAGCATTCATAACATCAGATTTATGATCACACAAATTAAAATCTGTAAAAATAAATTGTCATTAGTCAAATTATATTTTAATAAATATACACTGATTTAATTCAAAATATAAATACAATGAATATTAAAAATTATAATGTAATTTAAAAATGATTACCTTGTTTTTCTTTAAAATATTGACATTGTGGAGATATTAGTTTATGTTCAATATACGGATCGTCGTTTTTTCCCCAATATCCAAATTCAATTCGGCAGTATAAACATTTAACTTTATCTTGTACGCCTGTATAATAAAATCCAGCTCTAGCCAATTTATCAGGTGTAATTAATTTTAATGGCCATTTTTTAAAAGTTTTTAGACGATTTTCATAAATTTTCATATCACAGGTAGAAATGGTAGACTCTGATGATTTTGTAATGCTTTTAGAACTTTGAGAAGGTACAACAGGTTTATGACTTGGAGATGGAATAATCTGTAAACAAAAAAAGATTACAAAATTACAAAAATAAATTATGATATAGGATTGTAAATTAAGCTATGCGCAACACACAATTTATTGTTATAATATAAGTCATAAATGGTTATATAGTATACATACAAGAGCATATTTGAAAAGTAGATTACATCATTTAATGTAAAATGAATCAAAAATATATAATTCTCAATGATATCGATTAATGTTGTGTTTAATATTTAAAGATGTAATTAAGGTTAATATTACATACTTAGTACTGTGAATCAAAATATCTATAATATATTAATTTGATAAGTAAAACGTGTAACTATTCATATGTGTGACTACTACTATTGAACATCAAAGTTCAAAATATTTATGATTTATTGTTATCTTTCTAACATTTTATGAAGTGATATTAAATTATTTAAATAGTATAGGAATTAAAAGTAACTAATAGTGAACAATATAGCTACTATATCAGGTATAAGTTATTAAAAGTAAAAGTACTAAATTTAATGAATGACTGAAATATCTGTTATTTATTTTAACAATTGTTGCATACAAATTTGCAATATCACTATATCAATAATGATAATGTTTGGCTTAATTAATAAATAAAAATATGTTTATCCAGTTACAAGTTTAGAATGAAAAGCAATCGTTAAATTAATTAGTTGTCCTAATAACGACAATGGCAATACAAGGTCGACAACTAGTAACTTAAGAGCATAGCATATGTCGCGGATTCAAAATAATTCATAATTACAATAAGTTGAATACAGCACCTGATCATATTAGTCTTTAAGTTCAGTTACGTAAACAATCGTAGCTTATCGACAAATGATTTGAAAAACAGTAAATCTAACTCCGTTACTAGCATTACCATTTCAATTATGACAAACATTGCTGTCGGAAGCAAGAGGAAACCGGGGTCCCGCAGTCGCGATTGAACTGAACGCGAAAAACGATTAGGTCGTGAGAGCGACACACAATCGGCGAGAATAATATAAAAATTTTAATTGTAAGAAAGACGAGACGACAATAGCAACAACGAAGACGACGACGGCAGTCATACATAACGCAAACCGTGAATAATATTATAAGATAAACTTTGCCAACTACGCATTCCAACTTACAGCAGTGATTTCGGCGGTGTGGTCATTGCCGACTTCGTTGTCGTCGCCGCCATCGTTTTCGATGACGATCTGGTCTTCAGCGCCGACATCGTTGTTGCACCGGGCGGGCGGGCCGTTCGGCGGCGGGACACGTTCAGAGCCGTTGTCCATTGTGGCAGCCAGCGACGAACGATGAGCGACGGTGACAACAACGGTCAAATAGAAAAATAAAATAATCTAACGGCGACGGCGACACGACAACGACTAACGAGTCCGTGACAAGGGCGCGTCGGTGTGTATGGCGTCAGTCCGGCGGTCTCGTGCTGGGGCGCTGATTACGTACGGGCGGGTTGAGTACGGCACCAGAGTTCAGCGCCGCACAACAGGAAACGTTTGCTAACGAGGCGGTCCGGAGCCAAACGTTTCGTTGTTGCCGTTCGTGCGTTGATAAGTGATAACACGAAGGTACGATTACACGTCGAGTCACGACGAATAATGTACGACAATAATAGCCACAATTAATAATAATAATTGTAGTAAAATCGTAATAAATATTTTTGTAAATACCGTAAAACATCCACCGTCAGTTTTTGAAATACAACAAAATATCAAAAATTGTTTGGAGGAGAAATAAGTGTTTCACGGATAAATATCGTGAATATCGAATGTCGTAAACATTTCAAGTTAAAAATGCTCATGATAAAAAAATAATTTAGCTTTCCGGCAAATATTTTTTTATTTAAATAGGTTGAAAAATTAATAAGGAACTTTATACAGAATTTTTAAATCTTAGGTATCTATTTTTATTTTTTATTATAAAATAATTAACTAATTTTCGCAAATGTTAATAATTTTGTCAAAATTCTAACTTTAAACGCTTATAGAAAAATACTGTGATTACAGGTTTTAATATTTTGTAATTGAGAAATGAACTGCTTACGAGAAGCTTTGTATTAAATTTTTAAGCATTTCTACCCAATAGTTTATAGAATATAAACAGTAAGAATATTTTATCTCAATAAGAAAATAATAATTTAAATATTTAGTAAATATTTCAAGTATCTACAGTTATCCGTTTTCGAGTTACACAAAAATAAAAATACATTTTGTTAAAAATAGGATTTTTATAAAACTTCCCATTTTCCTTAATTTTTTTTTTTTTTTTTGTTTGTCGGATTATAAAATACTATACTAGGAATTTTTAATCTTGACCTCTGTAGAGTATAATATAGATTTAATTTCCTATTCAAAACCACCCTCGAAGTTGAACATCGAAGCATTTGATCGACTAGTTATCATATACACATATACAAAAACAAAAATAAATATGTTTTATTATAAAACCAATACATTCATTACTCTACTTAGAATTTAAAAATTGAAGAAAAACGGCGGTCGCTGACCATCGCCATCATAAATTTTAAGATTTATTTGTTTTAATTCAACAATGAACAAGTCGAATTGTAGGTACATATTTCAAATTTTTACCTTAGCATTTTTATACAATATGATGTAATTTTTAAAATATATTTTGACTTTTTTTGTACTATTATTATAGACTTTAAGTTTACCTATTAAAATTTCAACTCATATAGAAAACAAAAGTTAAACGTCAATTCATTGAAATATTTAAAGATAGTTTACAATTAGAGATTTTGTAAAAATCGCGAAAATTTGTATATTAGCTTGTAGTTAAATATTCATTACATTTTTAATATTTTTATCTAAAATTTAAAAAATTGATATATGATTCCTGATAAGTTTTTATATCTGGAATTAAAAAAAAGTTCGGCATAGTTTCACAAAAGCTTTTTATTAGTATGTGAAGTTTACATTTTGACGGAATTAGATATTTATTACTCTTATAATTTTTTTACTCTCTATAATATCGATAAAAAAAATTTTTCTCATGGTTAACGAACTTTAACATTTATAAGGTTCAACATAAGTTGTTCTTATAACCATTTACAAATATTATAGATATAGCTATTGTAAATAAGCACGATTTGTAAAGTGATTTATTTATTAGATTATATTTAATATCAAAAATGAATAAAAAATTATCTTGGTAATAAATTCAGGCTATATATATGTGGAAAAAAATAAAGGCAATATCTATATTAGCGCTGAAAAGAAAAATGTATCAAGATTTGGTTTATTAGTGATTTTGAATTTTTTATTTTGGTATTTATTAGATTTTTTTGTATAGAATAATACAATTAACTTAAATAATTTTTCGCGCAAAATGTTATCATCAACTAGTTGTACTTATGCAGTTTGTTTTGACATTTTTAATTATGTTGCTGCTGGTAGTGCGCTCAAATGGGTACTTCTAAAATTTGGTTATACTTCAATAAAAATCCATAAAAAGGTTCTAAAAAAAACTGTGTCTTAAGCGCTGCCGCTAGGGTTGCCCAGGGCCCCGCGCCTTACATGGCATTTAATGATTTGTAACCAATAATTTTGTTTTTCAAATTAAAAATACAAGTCCCGTCTGGCGGCTCGTGGGTTTTTAATGAAGTGTACATCCAAAAAATATTTAACCAATATATTATATATATATATATAGGTACTACGAATAATTCGATGAACAATTACAAATTACAATGTCGAAGGAAAACAAAAAGACGATTGTTGCTTTGAATTTACTATAATCATCGACAAACATTATAAACAGCTAATGGGAAATGGGAATATAATAAACGAGTGAGAGTAAAAATAAATTATAATGCTGTCGCGCGACGGCGACGTCAAAAATAATTCGCTGAAAAGTGAAAAGAGTTTAATGGGTTATGTGCACATCAACTCCAATATAAAGCGGATTGCGTGTTTTTCTTGCCCGTGTTATAGTTTATCATATTATTTATAGTTGTCTACTGCTTATCTTGTATGTGCCGAGTGCCCGCAATACTACGAAGAAACAATGTACTTTCTGTTGTCATTAGAGCATTATACGACGATAATTAGATGGTCTAGACGTACGATAGCGAATCAGTTCTCGATGACGCACGCTCGCAGCAATTATATACGTATTCATCATTATTTTTCAGAAATCACTCACTACTAGGTTCGCAACAAATATTATTTACTAAATAATTGTTTCGTCGGTATCTATGTTCTATTTCATTATTTCAGTATTTCACGACTGGAATATTGGCCATGACGCCACGTATATCAATTACAGCTATAAACGTGACCAAGTGTTTAGTGTATACAAACATTGCCAGTTCATGAAGTCTTTTCTAAAAACAAAACTAAAACATTTAACTTGTAAGATATTATGAAAATGTATTTTATTAAGCACATGCGAACAACTATTATAATTACTAACCTCTGACGTACTGTTTCGAAGATACGTTTTTAATTTATCTTTTAAGACTGGAAAACATGAAATAGTTTCATCCGAGTTTTTTAAAAACCCTTTTAGCACCACGGCTTTTTAAAGCAAGTAACATCAATGTATAATGCATACTACTTGCGTCCGAAATTATGATCAGTGGGCGAGTTGCGTCCCTCAAAAAGGGTCATAGCCTTTTTGCGTCGCGGTATATCTTTTTTTATAACCTAAATGCGCTCCGAAAATATCGATATAGTCGATATTAATATGCTAATAAAAAAAAATACATTTATGTTTATTTTAATTTATCATATAAAAGTTTCATAACATCATATCTTCATATGTTTTACATTTTGTCGTTTAGTAAGTAGACACATGTAATACATAATCATTAGTTATGGACAATAAGAAGGTATGTATTAGGACAATTACTTCATAAGAAACAAAGTTTTTTTAGAGTTACGACATTTTCTATTTTGTTTTATTTTAATTATGAATTATGATACAGATAAAAAATTTAAATAATTTAAGTACACAATATTATGATAACTCAATTCTTTAGTAAAATAATGTGACATTATATTTTAATAAGTAACTAAATAAAAAAAATATACGATGTTCCAACCTTTGTTATGAATATAAATCACAATATTTGGTAATATTATTAAATATTGATAGTTAAATAACAATAACAATAAAAAAATGTTAATAAGAGTAACAAGTTTAAAATTAAATATGTCATGTATAAATAGTATGTTAATTAAAAACAAACATAATTTCCTAGTCTTTTAGTATGATAAGTTTAGGCGCAAATCCAAAAGTTCCATCCATATACCATTCTTTAGGTTGACTCAATAAATTTAACATGTTGTCGGTACCAAACATGATAATTCTCTCATTAGTATTTTCAGATTGGTTATTATGAAAAAGAAAAACGTTGACTATTTCATAAAGACTATTCTAATTACTAATAAAGTAACAAAAAAAAGGTATTTTAATTAATGTGCTCTCATTTATTTTGAAAGTAACTTAAAAATCGGTAAATTGTTTTAGTATTGTTATAGTATTAAGTATTTTGTGTTGAATTTAAAATGTGTTTCGGATGGGTGGTGTAAAGATTAAAAATTTAAATAAAACACTACTAAATAGACCAGGGGTTCCCAACCTTTTTATCATCGAGTGCCATCAGACACTTTTATAATCAATACACGTACCACCTCAATTTTAAAACTAAATTAGGAGTCAAATTTTTTTAGCGTATATTTTTATTATTCATTCAATTCTTTACATTTTTATTATTTGATATTTATGAAAGTAAAAAAATCATAATTTTTAGTTAAATCTAAATATTTAAATTTTAAATTACAATTTTCAAATTAATAAAAAAAAATAATAAAATTAAATAAATAAAATTAATGTGATATTTGTTGTTGTTTATTTTTCACAAGGTCATCAATATACCATATTATATAAAATATAATATAAATAACACAAACGTTAAAACACTTAAAACTATAAGAATGCGCTTTATCGATAAGAATAGATTATCTAAAATTCTAAATTGCTACGATTACAAACCCCATGTTATCGACATTAAATTTATTTTGATAAAATAATAATTTTATAAAATTAGCTAATATCAAATAAACTAAACTAAATAATATTGAATGCAAATAGTAATAAAAAAATTTCTTCGCGTACCACCTACGAGCCTTCCGCGTACCACTAGTGGTACGCGTACCACGGGTTGGGAACCTCTGAAATAGACCATAACATTTTTATTTTAAAATTATAATTTATTATTATTATACACTTTTACATTGCATATTATTTAAATTTATATTTTAATTGTTTATACCCATGTCCCCTTCCCAAATTTGCCTATTTTTCTAAATGTGCATATTTAGAAAAGACTAATTCAAGCTATGACAAATGTTTCATGTTTATAGACATGTATTAAAGGCATACTGCTATGTATGTTAAATATAGA